ACACTCTTCACCACAATTACTGGCTCCAGGGGACTGCTACTCTTTGCTGGGGGACGGCGTGCACAGTTCTCATGACCGTGCTAGGCTCAAACAATGGTTCCATGCATCCAGTGTGGAGCGGTCTACGGCCCATACACAGCTTCTTTATGTCAGATACGCATGATTCCCAATTTAGATAAACAGGAATGCTGCTGATGTGCATGTAGGATGAGTGTGTGCCTGCTCTGTTGAAGAAACGTGGCTCCCATCCACATGCCTCCCGGTCTTGTTCCTTCGGTATTACACTGTAGTTGTGGCTGGTTCAGCGCAATCCACCCGTGGTCCCTATGTAGGCCTAGGCGTCCTGTGGCTGTCCCCATGGAGGCCGCAGTGACAAAAGGCCCCAAGCTTACCCGCTGTCTTAGCATACAAGAAGGCTATAGATCAAGCACGGAAGCTGCAAGTATTTGCTGATTCACTGTGTATACGTAGGACCTCGATTTAGGGTTACGTGTGGTGGATTGCGCTGAGAACCAAAGACTATCGTGTGTCGGCTTACCGTTGAAGCTCCTTTGGTGAAAGAGAAGGCACAAATAGTGCAGGTGAATAAATGAATACTCACGTTTCAGTGGTCTATCAAATTCAGCGGGGTACTGAATTACTGGAGTTTTTTGTGATGGTTGAGGTGACAATATTCTACCCCACCTGAACAGCTCTACAATTTTCGATATATTCATACGGAGCTATCAGTTGGAGTCAGTACTCTGCGCCAAATTGGCTTGCACCGCTCGGTCATCCGATCCCCGTTTTATGGACACCATGAACTCTGGTGCCGGTGCCGGGGTTGATGAGGTTCATGTGAGTCCCCACCACCTCGGCCGGGGCCACTTTTGAATGGCGGATGGGCGCTGCACGAACATTTACGAGTCTGTTGTCAGGTCTGGCTGCGTCCGATGTGAAGTTTATAGGACGCTTACTCGCGTAATACCGCCTTCTCTATTGGTGGTTCAAGGGAACCATTAATCACTGCTGAAGGGGACGGGGTGCAAGTTTCGGTGATATTACTTGACTAAACAAGTAACTCGCTTCGGTTTAGACCTAGTTACGACCCAGTAACTGCTCTGTGCACATCTGGTATGTATGTTTCCCTCTATTTCAACGAATGATGTGCATATTGAAGGAGGGCGGACCAACTATGAATTAATCGTGCCTCCCATCTACACATCTCCCAGTCCTATTCCTTCGAGTTTACACTGGATATGGGGTGTGTTGTGCAGCGTAAGCCACCAATGGTCCTATGCATGTTCGTTATTGTAGCTGCATAGGAAGCGGAAATCTGATTCCATTAACCATGGCTCTAGAGTGCGTGTACCACACCACTTTGCTGGCAACATGCTCACCGTGAGTTTGGTAGGAGGCAAGAAACCACGTAAGATTCATCTCAATGATTGTAACTTAAAGAAAGTGTCAAACACCGTGGTAACACATATATCTGAAAAGCACGGTAAGAAGACAAAAGCTGGTAGATGCATGCATTTCGTATTGGAAACAATACGAAATGCATGCATCTACCAGCTTTCGTCTTCTTATCATACTTTTTAAATTTCTGAAGGGAACTAACTGCCTTAAACATATTTTTGTGACAAGATCGTGTCGATGAACGGACCTGCGGCCCGAGAATGCATGATTTAAAGCGGTGCACACCGACAAGGAAAGAGTGAGTTCCAATAGCGCCCCAGTATAATCGTATGTGTAAACCTACTGGGCTATGGAGACGTGATGGAATAATTGATTCCATTCAGTTCCCCAGACGAAACTGCCAACTTGGTTGCCCCACCGTGCGACCTGAGTACACAACACACAGTTTTCGAGGGTGCTGGAGTTGATGTTAACTCCACTCGGTGAAGTGGACGCGCACACTCATCCCCTCTAACGGTGGCGCACTTGGTGGTTTTCACGCTGTGACGCAAAAAAAATGCAACGCGGTGCACATCCGACTGTCTCACATCGCGTTGGGTGAGACATCGCACAAAATCGACCAACCGATTGATCGTTTGTGGCTATACTACGTGTCGGATGCAGCACCCACACAATTCACGGGTGGAACACAGATGGATAGACGGTCCTCGTTCTACGAAAGAAGTGAGTACCGCATCGATCCGAGCCACAATGTCAGCTATTCGCGACTCTTAGGTAGGACCTCTCTTTGTCTGTTGTTTAGATCAGATGCTAGCGCTGTAGTCCTTGAGCACACTGCAATTAACGGAATCGATGAGGGCATCTACCGCGCGATAAATCAAATCATCAACTGAAAACGGAATAGAGCTCCCTTTGCGTAAGCCTGTAACGCCTAGTATTTTGGTGCAAATAATTTTCTTGTCATTCCATGGCATTGTCAGATAGTTCAGAACGCAATATAGCAATATAGTGCTCCTTTCCGTTAAATGGAAATAGCAAAAAGCGGATTTTTGCGAAGGATGCACGGCTGCGCACGTGAAAGGTGTGTGCGTATGGTGATCTAACAGGCATAAATGCTGCGTTCTGGTGAACCGGATACGTAAATTTTCGCCCAAGACAGGAAGCAAGTGCCTATCTACGAAGTCCGGTCAGTGGACCATTAAACTAAACATTTGATGATCTCAATAATTAATGGGAAAGATAGCGCAACCAATTAGTGATTACATTTTAAAGCCGATGCAAACGCCATCAAAGACCAGAGGCTTTATAAAAGACATTTCTTTATCAATCAAATGGCAGCTCTCATCAACGATACCGCGAGTGAGGGATACCCCAGTGTCGGAAGAAATCGCGAGAGTGTGCAGAAGAGAATATGAGTAAGTGAAAGGTAAAAGTAAGGCGCACTGCCCAGACTGGGTGTCTGACGCATGTGGATGGTTGGATGCTCTCGGGCAAGGGATCGGGAGAAGGAGAGGGCTGCGCGAAGTCACAACTGGACACAGAACCCCACCTCTATTGAGACCCTTTTGTGGCCCATGACTGTGGTCACTGTCCTCCACATTTCCGAGTGTGGAATGAGATCACCCAACGCTTTCCCTACAGACCTACAGCAGCTTGTCGGAGCTTACAGCTGACGAACCCTTTGCGAATATACTTTAGTAACTAGGAGGAGAAAGATAGTGAGAGTCTGTGCGTCAATGGCGTAAAGCGGTGCAAATTCCAAACGTACATCCTGACTATAAATCTGTTACCCATACTATATTGTCTTGAGAGGTCATTTGAGGCTCGTTATCTCGTGGTGTCAGCTGAGGCAGAGATCAACACAACAAGGACTATGTCACTGAACAGCTGCGAGGAAGAGGTATGTTGCAACAGACACTATGTGGTTACGTGTGCGATAACTGCGTGAGTAATGGACTCCGTGGATGACTCCCGTTCCGATTGGCGGGGTCTTTAAATTGGCCGCGGTCTTTTCGCTGAACACCATTTTACGCTATCTACCGTGAAGTAACAGTTTTGCTAGAATAATTTTGCAACTTCCTTGCTCAAACTATTTCTAAAGCTACCAAGACTATCTTAATCTATTTATATTTTGACTAAAAGATTGAGATATTGAGCACGATTCGTGATTTGTTGCTTTTGGTCACGAAATGTAAGGCCAATTGAAATCGTTTATAAGAGTGTTTTAGTAAACCTCCGCCCTGTCTACTGTATACAAATCCCGAAGATACTGTTTGGTCTTGAGCGACCGTTGCTCGGGAATGTGAGGCCGTTTACTAGAGTGACAACAGTGCCTCTTCTTTCCATTTCGTTTATCCGTTTTTAAAACTTTGCGTTGATTTGATTTTTGATTGTCATTTTAGTCACTGCTGCAACTGATGATGCAACCTGTTGAACATGCACGCATCCGGGTCCGCGAAGCTCACCTTGACTCGACTTGATTGGAACAATGCTTCTCAGAGGTATCTAACAAAGTTCGGTACTTACACACTTTCTGCATCAATTCGATGAGATTGCTTGTGTGCCAAGTTGGTCGTAAACCTCGACCGAAAGCATCGCCTATTGATAGTAATCCCGAAGGCAGTGGGTATACTGCTCGTATTCCTAGTTGAATGCCCTATTCAACTGGCTTCGTACGTTGAAGTGAACCGAAACTCATGCTTTCCTTGTCTGTCTCTATCTTCACGTGCGATTTAACCAGCTTGGTGGGACTAATCACGTGCAGATTGCAGTGCTCCCTGAGGATTTTGAGCCTAAAGAACTGTTGGACAGTAATCGCCAAGTCGACTGAGAGTCAGTGTCCTGGTGGTCCTTGGACCTGCCAGCGTTTGGAGCACGAGCTTGCATGGAGTACTAAACCGCCTAGAAGATCAATCGGCTTTATTCTAAAACTCAAGAAACGTTGACCGCATGTGTTATCAAAATAAATCCTTGTTAACTGACTGGTGCATCTAGAGAAACGAGGGAGACAAACTGGGGACAGGCACTGTTTGACACATCAACTGAACGAGTGCGATTTATGTCCTGGACGATACTGAGAATGTATAAATAGCCATTATGGATCCGAGATGTTCATGAATGATAGCATGGTACAGCGAAGTGCTTAACAAGTAGAAAATCTCGATGCATCCAAGACTTGCTCCCCACCGTATTTGCACGCACCTCAGGGGAGCTAGAAAGAGCAGGATACAAGCATCTCCCCCGCATTATGGGGAGCTGGCTGTAACGATAGTATTCGTCAGCGTGCCAACTAATCCAACAGAGCCACACAAGAAACACAGATGCGCCTGGATTTCATATTAACAGCCAGGGGATTAACTACCGACGGTTAGTAAGAACACCGTGTTCCTCCATATCACAGCACTGGAAGTTACGTTATCATCCGAGGCGCAATCCAACAACTGCTCTGGAAATTGCATTGACGATGTTGCCTAGCCTGGTAACGAAACGTTTGCAGCCAAACAGCCAGTTCGGAGGAAACCTCAAACCGTTATTTTTACTTTCAGTCATTAAGGCATACACAAGCCTTGAGATGCAGTTACCAAACAACGAGCGTCACTCACTTTTATCACAGCTGTAGCCTTTTTAGAGGGTATTCCTGCATCTTGACATGTGACTTGAACATGATCTTCGGCGCTACGCTCTCGATCAAGTGGACTTCTGGTGACCAAACTGTATCGCACTGATGTAGCAGTTCCCATTTGGCTGGATCTGTCCCGATCGAGTCGGTAAACATCTTGGTGCGAATCAAGCTGACACGTGACCACTAGCGAATCAGTCCAAGGTCCCGCAACTGTACCACCGGGTTCGGCCAGATCTGGATCGGAGGCTGTGATGAACGCGACGAAGTAATGAGGAGGACCATTTTCACGAATTTCCTTATAATCGTTCTGTCCTCCGGTAGCATAATCAACCACAATACTTGGTGGTTCGTCGTCCAGATTTCCAACCTGAAAAGTGGAGTTGAGTGATGGAATAGTACTGGGACATGCGAATGAGATTCAGTGATTGGTCGATCGAAGATCCAGTCAGTTATGTAATTCGCCTTATTTACGCATGGAAAATTGGGGTTGGCCTCATCCCGCAGGGCACAACATTCATTTCCATGGAGAGTGAATTTCTGACAAACAAACGGAGTCGGATGATATTATAAATTCCCATATTATCACGATAGTTCCCGGTGGGTTCGCAACAGAGAATTGCGCACAAAACGCTCCAACACAACCACACCTTTTGGGACTGATGAAGTTCAATAATGTAACCAGCCGTACGGCTGGTATGAGGTCGGTTATGAGAAGTTAAATACAAATTTGCAATCCAGTCAACCTATTACGCACTACAGACCATCATTTTTCGTGAGACTAGACGAAGAGAGTTCTTTTGCTGTCGAGAGGGCACTAGAATCGACGTTTTGGACATAGGCTTCAGTCGAATCAAGCTTGAGATAGACCGCCATTACAGCCCTCGGCCTACTTGGTAGTCCATTCTGCTGGGCATCGCCAACTAACGTTTTGAAAACACTTATGCGCGAAACTACACAAGTAGAGTATTATCATAAACGCATGCGGTCCTGAGAAGTAAGTGACGATTGGCCGCACTATGAATCCCCTAAGGGCTCTTCGAACATTATGCGGACACGGGTTCATTATGGCCGCAGTCCCAATGGGCTTTGACAAGCGTGAGAATGAAGCTCATGTAGTCCGCAATGCGGCGAATGGGGGATAGAAGTATAACGCTAGACCTGCACTTTGAATAGGAATCACATTATGTACACGGGTCCACCTGCTTATCGTGTTCAAATGTGCCAGGCTAATCGGAGTGCTCTTCAACAAGATCTGATAAACTTCCGGTGACATATGATAACTATATATGAAACCTGGACCCATTACTGAAACCGAACTCAAAAGACAAACGCATGATGTGGAAATAACTTAATTCGCCACCACCCAAGAACTTCCATTTTGCGCACTCGGCTGGCAAAATCATGGCGTATATTCTCTGGGATCCCGAGGGAATACTTCTGATAGATTATCTGGATTAAGGTGCCACAACAAATAATCAATATTATACAGGCTTAATGCAACAAATTCGAGAAAATATTAACGTAGCGGTGTGGTACATTAAAAAGATCACCCATGTTTTAGACAACCTTTCCAGTCAGGTGTCACTGATTACTGGTTGGAAGCGGTAAGAAGAGATTTCTCTGTGTAGCTGCATCTAATATCATTCAGGTACAAAGACCCGTTATGTTGGAGTGCCATCGATCTATTTTACATCGGCAGTGTTTGTCCAGAAATTTCTTGAATTCCGACACCGACTCCTTCTCAACTACGTATTGCGGCAGGTTGTTCCATACATTCACCACTCTCCGTTCGAAACAGGGTTGGTGGCTCCACGAAGTAACCCTGGAAGCAATTCATGTAGCAGGGTTCAGATTGCTTGAATATTCACCCTATTCTCCAGATCATGTTCCCAGTGATTGTTACTTGTTTTTTTAGTCTCGAGGATCACATTAGTAGTAAACATATTCGATTGTGTTCCTGACGTCATTGCAGCTGTAGAAGTGTGGCTACAGAGGGCATGATTCGAACTTCCACAGCAAGGACATTTTTTAATCGAAACACCAGTGGACAAAGTGTATTGAAGTCGAGGGATCGGATGTTGAAAAATAATTGAGTTTACGTTTTTCTACTGATTGCTTTTAAGGACCATATTAAGACATTTCCGAAGGACCCTCACACTGCTCTGACTGAGTGAAGATGGCCGCCACAGCGCATGTCCACAAGGACTGATCCAGGGCCAGATGGCTCATCGTTAAACACTTATGCCCTCGATCAACGGATGGTACAGCAAGATGCATCGGCCCGTTATAGTAGTTCCCTTGGAGAAACGCTTTTGGCCAAAACACAGTGTCCACTGGGTTCATCTTTTCCGTGAGGTTTCGTATGAGAAATGTTGTGGCGACAGCATGCTATTGCTGGTAGCATTGAATGATGGAATTCATGAGTGAAGAGGAGCGCGAGCAGGTAGTGACTTCGTCGAGAGAGAGAGAGAGAGAGTAGTACCGACTAGATGACGCCACCGAGGGAATTTAAGGTTGCTTATTAAGTTCCCCAGGTGCCCTTTCGTTGCGACCTTTGGAAATTTAAATGAATCTCTTATTCGTATTTTGTGTCCCGTAGTAGGTGTGTGCTTGAGGCTGGAAGTATGAGTGTTCCGGGCCGTCATAGCAGGGAAGTGATCTGTCATCCACTTCAGTAGATGGCTCCATGATATCGTGCAGAACTGGTGCAGGTGAATTGACACCAGTTACCAATAACTAGAGCGACTAACTTTGTATGTCCCACTACAGTTCTACCTGAACGCACGATCGAAAAGGCATTAAGCCAACCTTCACTGAGTCAGGTATGCAAATATATCTTGTTTTACTGTTGGCGCACGTACTAAATAGCTCTGAATTAGTTAAATCAGTGAAAATGTGTCGGTGAGCAATGCCGATGGTGTGCTGGCAGAAGACCTGATAGGGAAAGGCAATATGAGGTTATCTTCTGTCCTACAAGCCTTGTTTACGAATGCTCCGTCAATAGAAATATTCAATTTCATCTGTGCACTCAAAATGGAAAACACAATGGTGATGCTGAAATTGCACGTTAGGTTGATAGCCTCTACCTGGAGGAAAACAACACGGATAACTCGACAGAACTGACACCATTAGGGTTACTTCCTTGCCGACCAGCTTCTCACTGCAAGTTGAAAGTGGGTCCGTCAGGCGACTGATCTTGTCTCTTGATTCTCACTGGTAGTGCATGAATCAATTCTCATTGACCATGGCCAGTTATCTCGCTTGTGAGAGTGCGGGTGACGGCAAACCAGTCTTTCTGGACGTGTGGCTGTTCTGGCGAGAGAATGCGTCGGGTGAATGAAGGGTATTCGGGAAATTGTTGGCCAGTATGCACATTTTCTCAGCTTCACACATCTTTGTGCTATCAAGCGCAACATTTTCGGTTTCGAATTTCTGGATAGATAAAACCATCACAACGTATTCGGTGAAAACCATCATGTGGTCCACCACCATCCCAAAGCACTCACGACGTGAAGTCAGCCCTTTTTCGGGTCTATTCACTTTTGAACTGAGAACTGTTGGCTACACTGTACCAATTGTACCCCACCATGGAAGTTGATGCTTTTATTACGCAAGTCTCCTGGAATTTATTTTAGGCTGAAATGACCCCTTTGATCTCTACATACTTTTTCTACACATGTGCTGCGTGACGGCAAAGTCATGGGATTAGCCATCTGTCGAAGCGGATGAGAGAACCTATTCATGCTTCTGTCCACTGAACGACGCAGCCAGGAACACTCACAATCCCGCCCTCAAACACGTGCTTCATAGTAGGTACAAAATACGGACCACTCGCACATTCAAAATGTTCTGGTTTGTACCTAAGTGAATCAAAAAGCCCATCGCAGTCGCGAACATGAAAATAGTGGACACTGGGAAGAGCCCACTGCTTACCACGACCGTATCCGCTCTCTGTGTGCACTGACGTGCAGCAGAGCTTCCGAGCTAACCAATGATTGCTAACTTACGACGTTTCAGTACCACCAACTGTCCCGGATGATAATGGCCAATCGAATATGATCCAACCAGAAGCGGTTGGTTACCTCAACGAAATCTGATGACCTGATGATGCTTATTTGGAAGATCAGATAATAAAGCAGGTGTAAAACACGCGCTCAGTGAGTCGATTGTTGACCGTTGTTAAGCTGCTTTGGTTGCAAATCGAACGCATCCATGTGCGACCCACAGTGATACACCAGTCAGTCATTGCTATCATCACACACAACAGATTCCGCTGATGACAATGCGACGGGGCTGCCTCGTCCATCGTGACGTACGCCTGGGAGCCTACATCACGAAAGCGGGAATTTTTGGGTGAGAGCCGAAACGCATGAGACAGTAAAGCATAAGTGTTGCGTTCGCATACTTCCAACGAATTTAAGGTTGAGGCAGTCTGAGTCGATCAGGCCGAGATAACCGAAAAACAATGAATGATGCATGATTGGGACAAAGTGACAGTTCTGTGGAATGCGAGAAATACTAAGCGGCCTTGCAACTGATGGACTTACATTAACAACTACCGTGGTTGTCGCAGTCCTCGATCGATAACCGGAATCGACTGCAGCTGCAACTCCTGCCTGGTGGGTGACAGGATTATAGGCCAAAACACGGAATCGATGTCGACGCCTAACTTCATAGTCCAGTGGTCTTTTCAGATATATCTTCCCGGTCTCGCTGTCCAGGCGAAACCAATAGGATGGGGTGGAAGAAGGCAAGTCTTGCTCGGATGACACGTCGCCACCAAGCGCCACTTCGACTGGGTTCCTGCCGCTACCGCCGCTTCGGTTCATAGCGCTAAACTCAACATCTACTACATTCCAGTCTGTAATTGACGGCGATATTTCATACACAATGTGTGCGTTTGGACCTTCATCAGCATCCACTGCGTGAACTTGCAGGATTTCGTTGCCTGGACTCACACCTTCCTCTACTGTCGTCTCGTAGACAGCTTGTGTAAATGTCGGGGCGTGGTCATTAGCATCTTGAACGCGTATTTTTAACAGTAAAGTGCCAGTACGTGGTGGGGACCCACCGTCAACAGCCAGGAGACGGTAATTATGTTCTGAGGCGGATTCTCGATCTAACGGCTCGAGCAACACAAGATCTAATCCGACGATAGTTCCTGTGGATTCATGGATCGAGTACATATTAGGGTCCTGGTGCGCAGAACCAGAATGTCCGTTATTCCACACCGGCTCCAACCGGAACAGCTGGTTCCTTAAGCGGGCTGACTGAGGATTGTTCGAATCCGATTGTATCAATTCATAGTGTTTCACGTGGAATGGAGGGGCGTCAATGTCTGTGGCAAGCGGCATGGGAACTTTGTGCCCAACAGGGACTGATTCGGACACATTGATCATATATAACGGCGGTCGGGTAGAGAGTCCATCTTCGTTTTGTACGTCTTGCCAGATCCCGGGGGATAGAGATTGTGAGGGGGGAGGCTGGAGGAGTAAGAGATGACGTAAAGCGGCGTGGATCAACAATAATCAGTACTTAAAAATTTATGAAAAAGTTGATCTGTGACCAACTTTGACTTGGTCCTGAAACACATCGATCGCAAACACCACTAATTGCATGCAAGTGGTAGAAATAATGCATTCTGACAATAAAGTTAAGCCAAATCACAATCTCAATGTCGCGATCAACTGTGCAAAATAAACACGAATTGTTACACCAACTTGTATATGTGGCTTGTCGACGCCGGCGATTGTTGGAATACTAGCGAGGCCTCTAGCTTCGATGCACAAGGAAATCCTACGTTAACTGTGGAGAAACAACGCGTCCAAAATAGATAAGACAAAGAAGCTGGAGTGAGAACTGAGATATGCACGTGCTACGCTGAATTTTGTCGAGAACGAAGTGATTCCACTGCACTGCGAAAACGTTCGTTCCAAGCATCCAGCTGCTCGAAGGTGACACGCTGGTTGAGGTAAAAGTAAGGCAACCATTTCACCGCAATTGCTAGTATCTACAGGTGAAAGACAGGCACCACGATTAGGAAGGAATTGGTAACGTGATTGTAGACATGCTTGAAGGCAAAAAGTAGTTGTGTTTGTTAGGAAACATTTCGTCTTCGGCACTGAAGTTTCACAAGGATGGGTGAGCCAGTACACAACCGGCACGGTACTTTGCAGCGAACGACTGCGATAATCGTGACGACAGAGTGCTAAGTCCCGAAGCTATTACAGTCACAGATTGAGGTGTCACATCAAGTTGGGCAGCCACAGCATGACTATTCCAGATGTTTAATCGGTGAAAGCTGGGGCCCGCTTATACTATCTGGTCACGCTAAGCTAGTCAGACTGACCGGATTATGATTGTTCATCGTGCACCTAACGGCTTCCCCTTCTCTTCTATATTCACGTAACCTGAAGCTTCGGTGGTTTTCACCACTGGGACGTTGCTTTCATACCCCTCCCAATGACCTCGACATCGTCCAAGTTGATCTCCTGATCTGTGTCTAGCGTGTACATCGCTTCAATCGAAACTCTTCACAATGCTCTGTATCCCAACTCATCCCTCAGTAGTCGTGAAGTGAGTTTGTGTTATGAAATCTAGGTACATAGCTCTTTCTAAAATTGCTGATTGAGGAGAAAAGTGTGATCGAAACAACATCGGTTACACAAGAGGAAGACCATACAGTATTACACTAGTTCCAGATTCTTGGCCAAAAAATAACTAACTAGTTCGCCACTGCGGTTTCACAATAACTGAGAGATCAAGTATTCGTCAACTAAACTAAGACTGTGAGAATATAAACGCTGGAGCTTCCCGGAGAAGCAGTGAACTATTCTCGACCTGTTGCTCGTGGACGAAATATCCGCACCGACTAGCTGCTGACCGAAATCCACGAAGAAAACGAATTTGTTTAAGAGAGCGGAAGTCGACAGTTCGCTGTGTTTGCGTTCAGCAAGTAGGTTCACAATGCGGTTTGTAGCACTGGAAGCTCTTGGACTAGGATGCTCACGCAAATGTTGCTACCTCTTGGGCAGGTCAATTGCCCTAGTGCATTGCCCATCATATAAAAAGTTAGTGTGAGACCCGTGAAATAAGTCGCTTTCTGTTAGACTTCATCTAACCTCTGTTCTTGTATAAATTCTGGACACAAACATCCGCGGATGACGCCAAGGCACGTACGAAATGGTGCGAGGATACACGGTATCCAAGACCAGCATCTACCAACAAATAGACTCACAGTAGTGTCATATAACTTCCAATCCAATGTAAACAGACTCATTCTGAACTTCTCCGTCTTCATAGTCTCCTGGGAAAATACGCGCTTACAACCAGATCTATCTGTGCAGACCACTTGCAGTGAATAGCGTTCAAACGTGCAGTGACATCGGGAGCCCATCCGGTTAATGAGGCAAGATGATTGGCAGACGAATGTGAGAGAGAGTATACATGTGATTGTGGTTGAACAGACTGAGAAAATGTAGTCTTCTGTCAAGTAACGCTTACCATCTATTAGACGGCCAACGGTTGGAACGCGTGCGTACCTAAGCACTATGTAATAACGTTGTTCATCAACAAAAGCGCGCTATAGCAGAAATGCCACTGTCTCTACTGTATTGGATACACTGCACTGCTCGTAGATATGTGTTCCGATGTTACCTAGCAAGTCAAGTTACACTGTTTTAAGCCAATAATTATTTTCATTAATGTCCAGTCTGGGTCGTACGAATTATATGTAAATGTACTGAAACACAACGTACACATTATGCATGTATGTGGCAAATAAGTTTAAAACATCACTGCAACACGCCTCTAACAACTGACTGCAGCTTGGCATTAGGAAATGGTAACTTCGCCTAGATCCTCGCTTCTATGGTCCAGCGCCCTCCCGCTGCAGGAAGCAGCAAAAGTCACCCATCATAGAACGCATGTACTTGCCACTGTAGCGCTGCTTCATGACTGAAATGTCTTGGTGAAAACGCTCACCATAATCCTCGCTAACAGAGCTCAAGTTCTCAGGGAAAAAGTCAACATGATTATGCAAGAAGTGCATCTTGATTGACATTCGAACACCAACAGCCCGATAGTCCGCAATGAGCTGTTTTGTGATGTCCTCGTAGTTCTCTGCCTTTGATCTATTCAAAAATCCTGTACACACTGCCTCTAATGAGCTCCACGATTCAAACGCAAATGAAGTCAACTGGCATTCGAAAGCACTGTCTGCCATTATTCGGTGAATATCAGGCCCAGTAAGTATCCCTTCTTTGAGCTTCGCAATACTGATCTTCGGAAACACTTGTTTCAGGTACTGGAACACTAAACCATCTGGCTTGAGGGCTTTGAGGAAATTTCAAATCAAACCAAGCTTGATGTACAGAGATGGTAAATAGATATGCACAAGTGGTGTATACTTTACACTCATTTTCCGTGTAGCACACTCCGTCCTCTCTGGCCACTTTTCGGTTGTCTAGGGCTGTTGAGTTGCTCTGCTGTCCCACAAGCACAAGAAACAGCAATATTTTGTGAAGTCTCCTTGCATACCCATTAGGAGTCCAATGACTGAAGGCAGCACAGATGTTGCAATAGTACTTGCCATAGTTCAGTGCAGCGAGTATCTGCTGCATAATATTGTAAATCTCCTTCATATTGGTTGCATGCAGCAGAGGCACAGTTGGGTACACTTTCCATTGTGGAGCAGTATAGCCGCTGGTCGAGTGGTTTGCACACCTGACTTGCAATCATAAGGTCGACGGTTCGAATCCGCGTAGGGGTGGACGTCCTCCCGTTATACTCAGCCCGTGAGCGACTGGTGGTGTTCGCGCGGCAGTGAAGCGCGGTTACAGCGTACGGCTGACACATTGTTTTTATGGCCTTAAGACTATTCTTAGAAGACTCAACAAACAAACTCCATTCATCACTGATATGCCTCACACCAAGCTCCTTCACCAGTCCATCCAAGTCGGACAAGTCACAAAAGGTTTTTCTCGTGTCATTGAAATCGGACAAGTTAGCACTTCAAACTTGGACTTGAGAATCCGGTGTGTGCTTGGGTTGCTACAAGCAACCTCTATTGAGACCTCAGCTCACTTGAGGTGGACTTCGGTCATTCCGATCACAAGACCGTATGTGAGCTGGAAATATTTTGGTGTTGGTCATCCCAACATTGGCATCCCACGTCCTGGTTTGGACTCATCAGGTAGAGATAGCCTGAGCTGGGGTGGAAATCAGAGCCTAGTAGTTTACGGCTGACGCTATAAACACTATGCCACTAAGATTCGCGAGCAACACTTGATACAGCGGAAACGAAGTCAAACTTGGATTTGAGAATCCGCTCACGCTATCTCCACCCGATGAGTCCAAACCAGGACGAAACCGCGGTCGTGGGGTGCCAGTGTTGGGATAAGCAACACCAAAATATTTAAGTTAACATTTCGCTTTCTGTACACAGCAATTTCAGTGTTTGCAGGAAGTGAGTGCCACTGCTGCAGCCAATGTGCCAACAGCTCGGTCTTGCTTTCAGACAAGCGCAACTCACGTACCAAGTCATTGAGTGCTGATTGTTTAATAAGATCTGGGTTGACAACATCAGCTTCGAAATTTTCACAGATGTCAGAATCAGATGAAGTTGATTATGCGGAATCACTACTCATCATCAGTGGCATGTTCACTGGAATGGGTAAGGTGCGGTCATGAGGAACAAGTCGAATGGCTGCTCGAAGATCGGGGTAATGAATTTTGTCCTTGTTTCGGTTGGAGATTCCAATGACACTGGGTAGGCAGATGTGGCAGTCTGTCCTGTGATGCTTCGACTCCCTCCACACCATGGGGATTACAAAGGGCATCTTGCCTTTGCCCTTGAACCACTGAGTCAGATGAAGATTGCACAACACACAAACAATATGTGGCGCCCACTTCTTATCCTGATCTCCCAGTTTCATCCCGAAATATGCGTGATAGGCAGACTTCAGTAGTGAAGAAATGGGTCTGCACTGCGATTTTGTGGTAAACCGTCCACAGACGAAACGAACGTGATTTCGGTCATTTACACAGCGGAGTCTTTTAGCCATGATCACGATATCAATTAAGGAGACACAGCTCTTAATCGACTTTCAGTATCAGGTGGATACTATGGCCAAGATCACTTCATTTATACGGTTACAGGAAGCCAATGGATCAATCGCAGGCGAGCATTCGATGCATGGAACGTACGGATTAGCTTAAATGGAAAACTTAAACAAAAACCCGACGTGCTAGAAACATTTGGTTCGCATATTTGTAATCAGCTCAATTAGTACTACTAGAAACAACCTATCTCAATTATGTCATACAAATGATGTTGAACAGTGTAATTATAGAAATTGTTCATTGTAGTGTAATAACCTGTGGCTTCCGAATCTCCAAATGCCCGGAAAGGTACTTACTGGCCGTTTAGACCTTTTGAGTCCCGTCAGTAATGTGTATCCATCGGCTCCATCAGAATCCGAAG